CTCTAAAATTCCAAGAAGTGATAGCTCGACTATCCGAAAACATACCTTCGGCAGATTCTCTCTATTCACAAGAAGTCTTGAAAGCATTTACCGGAGTATTGATTTTTTGATTTTCCTACTCATACAGATGGCCACGTGAGACGGAAATATAGGCTGAAAGTACATTGAAAAGAACCTTCATTACGAAAATCTGAGATGTTAACGTCCTTAGTAAATTGAAAAGTTCAAATATGTTGCTTGTTTAAAAGTGTTTTAATATAGCATTTGGTTGATGAAGGCTAAACTATGTTTATGAGCTACCGAAAGCGCATGTTTTTCAATTGACTTTTAAATCGTGACATTTCTCGCTGGCAGTAAAATGTTTATCCCCCTAACATGGGGGGTGAGTGGGGCTAACGGGCCGCAGGACCGTGGATGATGATGATGATGCTAGAGGGCGGGGGTGGCAATTCCGGAATTATGTGAGCCATCAGTTGCGTTAGTCAACCTTGCGCGATTTCGTTCATGCTATTTAGCAAACAGAAATGGTCGCGCAGACAGAGCTTTATCTGCCATCGCATCTGATCGTTGTTTGGCGAGGGCATTCAAACATCATGTCAATCACAGACATCGCATCTTTTTGTAACCTGCAGGCTAGAACTTGCCTCTCTGCTTCTATTAGCGTCTTGATATTTTCAAGCACGCCAGTTCTATTAAGGTGATGGATGCGCCGACCTGATGTTTGATGTGAAACATGCATGTGCCCATTCAGTTTTGGCCTATCTGACGTGATTGGTCGATAGCTGATGACTTTTTTCAAGCTTCCGTCTATGGTGTACCGCATGCATATTTGGCTGAAATAAAGCTCGTCCTAAGCAAACACATACGAGCAATGACGAGGAAAAAGTCCAGGGCAAATGAAGTGAAGAAGGGAAGAATCCGTTCAAAGTGTTTTCAAACAGCTGCTCGCGCTGGGTTGACCATTCAGCAAGACTTGACCAGTGTCAGCTAGTCTCTACAGAACGGAAATTTTCATGGCTTATATTTGCTGTCTCTGCCCAGCAAACAATAGTTGTATCTGACTGACAGGCTACCACATAATCTTACCCTGAGAAGTTTTGCAGGTGGTAACACCAAATGCAGTTGTGCGTCAGTCTACGTCCCCTATGTTCAAGCAAAAAACGACTAGATTGGGAAAATGTTCGTTTTTTCGCAGGGTATGTGGCCAGCTGCTGGCAGTAGGTTCACCCATGCTGTCCAGCAGAGGACCCGCAGTATGAACATGAGAGTTGTGAGCCAGAAAGCACACTACTTGCTTTTGTGGGGCGATCGCTTGGTAGAACATTGCTAGCAGCGTTCCCTTTAATCCCTCATTCCCCTTAGGTTGAAACTCCGCGTCCAAATCGGAGATTGGTCGTGCAGCAGGTTTGAAGAGAATTTGAATTTAACGAAGAATTATACCACTTGCTTATACCATCTGTTTTTTTTTTATCTTAGCGCTATCTCCAGATGGTGCATCAATCTGCTACTTTCCCTCTGCCATGGCTCTTCCGCATAAATAAACACTACCTACCGTCTCGCGATTTGCCACGAACATGGTTGCCTCCACATCGGTCCCACAGCGCGCTTCAATGTGGGAGCGAGGTGGGGGGTGCGCCGAATTTTTATCCCGTGACAACAGGAAGGGGTGAGGGCTAATAGGCTGTAAAGCCGTGGCAACGGTGCTGCTGGGGGTGGGCGGTAGTTCTCAAATTGTTTGGGCTGTCAGTTGCGTTAACTGGCTTTTCGCGATTTCGGTCATGATATTTAGTGAACAGAGACAGTCACGCAGACAGGGCCCTTATCTGCGATCGTAACTGATTATTGTTTGAGGCTTGAATTTAAGCAGCATGCCAAGCACGACAACCACATCTTCTATAAGTATATTCGAAGAGTTACATGCAGGCAATGCCCATGATGACCCTATTTATGTGACCATTGCACATTTGAGTCATAATAAAGAGGTAGACAGTTAAAGTAGCTTCGAGTCAAACCATAAAACAACTGCGCTCTCATGGCCCGGCCACGCAAATAAACACTGCCACCCTTTTCCGATTTTCCACCATCATAGCCACAATATTAATCCCACAGAATGCGTCTGTGGTGGCGGGAGGGGGGGTCGTAAACCGATTAGCCCTCAGACAAGATGGTAGGATGGTTGGGTGAGGGCTAACGAGCCACATGCCGGTGGGGGAGGATGAGCGGGGACGGACAAATCGGCAGTTCTGAAATAATATGGAAGGTCGCTTACAAGATTTCGGCCATGATGGTCACTGATCGGACAAATCCTTATCTGCGGCCGTATCTGAGCGAGAGTTTAAAGTGATAGTTGAAGCTAATAAAAGCCTGGCTCCATCAATTGCATCATCATTTTGGCTGCTGTTTAAAGGTCGCTGCTCTGATTCTGTTGATCTCTTCATATATTCAATCACGTCAGATCTATTGATGTGAGCAGGTTGGTGCATGCTGTTTTGCACCCCAGGCGCCAACTTAAGATCGGTATGATGTTGCAACTTCCAATAATTGACACATATTTACACTACTACTCACTACTTATTTATCTGCTGTTTCGAAATATTTTCTCGCGAACTGACAAAAGTATTAAGGATATAGATTCATGTTAGGTACCATTGTATACAACTGTCAACTCCTTACTATTTGAAAATCGCTTTCAAAGACCAGAAATAGCTCCTAAGGTCTCACTTGCCAAGTAATCCACTGCTGTCATCCCGGTCAATGGAAACTGTAATTCTGTTCAGAAATCTGATTCATGTTTCCTGGACCTAAGGACAAGTGCGACTTTTATGACCGTCTACAGTAGGAATGCTCCACCTACCTAACATAGGCAGGCCTGCGATAAATGACAGAAAAAGTAAGTTTGCCCGCAACCTAAATCTATCACTGACTCTAACATAAAACTTTCCTGTATTCATACTCCTTACCACAGATCTTTCCTAAACCTAAGCTCTTCAGTTTGCATACGCCCAAACATTGGCTGTCCAAAACCTCAACTGCGAACTTAACTCTAAATAAAACTCAAACCGCATGTTGGCCTGAACCTAATTTCCCCAAATTTCGTGCAATTTATGCTTCCAGGTTCATCTTAGGTGGTTATACATTTAATAAGTACCAAACAATATCGAAGAAGTTTTTTTAAAATACACGTAGTTGCAATGAAATATAGTGAGGAAAATCCCGCATGAAGAAATCTCAACAAATTTTACCACGCTGTGAGGAACACGATTGCCTCGATTTGTTTCGAACTCATGCCAGCAAGGGCATGCTGTAGTACAGCCAACTTCCTAGCAAACTGAACTACAAAGGTTCCCCAAAGAGCCTTGAATTTAATCGATTAATTTGCCCAACCTACTGTAATGTGTAGAATCCACTTATTCCGATACAGCAGGCCGAATGCCCAAATAAAATTTCCTAAGCAAACAATAGACTATACACTAGATTACTACCAGGTGCACTAAAGCAATTAATTCGGATTTTGGTGTATTTAAATAATTTAGCTGACCTTAATTGTGAAACATTCTGAGGCCTTGGTAGGACTCGAACCCACGACACCGATTGTAAACTCAAAATATCTCCACGTCCATTAAGTTTATTCAACTGCAGGATTAAGGCGGTCGAAAAATCCAGTTGAGTAAATGGGAGCCAATGTACGTCAAATGTACAAGATTCATAATTTCGATATGTAACTAACAGAAGGAGAACGTGTTAAGCAACCTTTTACGCTCAATTCATGAAGCTCTCCATGAGATTAAATACGCACACTTGGGAATATTATCAAAAATCAATGTATGACAGTGAGTTGCCAACTGTGCTTTTGCAGCTTTAAAATTCAGCTTCATAATCAATGTCAGGTCTAATAAAACTGACCTCTATAATCCTCTTTTTCCCAATATCGAAAGTGAATAAAGGTTTTCAAAGTATAAATCCACACGGTGACAAAGGAACTGTATAAATGCATCTGACATTTTTGGATTCCAACTGCTTTCTCATGCAATTTATAAGACAAATTAAGCACCTGTTAAAAACCCTTACAGGAATTATTAATGTTAGCCTTTTTTGAAAAGCAGTATTCAGTCGCGTTTATAGGCCCAACAAGAGATGAATACCAAAACATATTTTTGCCCATATTAAGACTGTTCAGTAGTTCAGTGAATTTTAAACTGCAAGGGCGTAACATGCCTGTTTGTGTATATCCTATTCTCAGGCTCGTTGCTATTCAGGCTGAATTTCTGTCCACTTACAGCAGCCAAAAATATCAGGATTAAAGGCCTTTCGGGGCTTTTCAAGGCATCCATTTGAACGATCCGTTTAACAGAAATCGCGATTGTTGAAATGTCCTAAACACATTTAATCTCCGCTCATGTCGAACCGAAAAAACATTTCTTGTTTTTTGCACGAGACTTGGCTGGGAGGACCAACCAACGGAGATTTTCTTGACAACATTCGATTCACCTTCTTGTTAGTCATCGTCATTCCTGTGTGTGCAGTGGGTGTCGTCACAAGCGCCCTCAGCATCTGTCTGTTTTGTCGGGACAGCACGACCCCGCGAACGACTCCCAAGCTCCTCATCGTCACATCACTGGCTGATGTACACCTTCTCCTCTTCTCCATGCTCTATCTTCAACCGTTGATATTCTGCAGAGCAGGCTGCAGCTTGAGGTGGTTCTACAATTCACCCGCATATATTCTGCTCATATTTTCCCTAGTTAATATCCTAGAATGTCCGAGAAATTGGTTGGTTGTGCTCATCAGCGTGGAACGCTTCCTGGTCATCTGCTTTCCCGTTCGCAGCAAACTGTGGTGGAATGGAAAGATGAATAACTGCCCGATAGTTGCCTTTTTTTGGATTTCCCATCCTAGTTCGACTTCCTCTCATCTGCTACCTGGCGCTCGAGAATGCGTGACCCAAGTGGTTGCAAGTGACGTCATGGCTATACCAGATACACTCATGTACCGATAGCTTCATGGTCACGCTAATTCCGCTGAGTATTCTCATTGTCTTTAGTCTACAAATAAGTCGCGGTCTGCAGCAGTCGGACTACTTTCGTCGGAAGCAGACGGGACAGCCGGAACATCGTCAAATTTTTCCGACTGAGAGCGGCAGCGGAGAGAGCATGATTGCTGCCAGCAGTGCTGCGCGACGGGTCAAGCTGACTCTTGCCCTCCTGATTGTCATAATCACATTCCCTCTGTTCATGCTGCCCCTGGTGCCTGTGTGTATTATTCAGATTATTTCCTACAACGTCTTCCCCTCTTCATGCATCTACTTGGTCGCCCCCCACACCTGCTCCTATGTGGCGGCACTCGGCTCGCAGATGAACTCGATGGCAAACTTCTTTGTCTACATTGTCTACTAGGGCAGGTACAGGCGGATGCTACTGCGGATGTTGCCTTGTGTGCCGCGACTAGACACGTGACTGTAGCTAGATACTGAGCTTGCTCGACAACGTGACTGCGGTTTTGGGAAAAACAGAATTAAGCAGAAAATTGGTCTTCTGGCGCAGATGTTCATATGGAGCAGACCGGATATTCCAATTTCTGCTGTCGTTTCTCGTGCTGGTCTGAAGATATTAACCCTCCTTTTTTTTCTTTTTGGCTATCACATCAGGCTTAAATTATAAGTTTTAAGTTTAAAAAGCTCTTCTGGCACTTAAACGGGCTATTCGGTTGCCCGAAAAATTTTATGAATATTGCATCTGATGGACAAGCAAATAAGCCACGCATTTTACTGGCAGGCGGATTATGTAAATCAGCAAATATTCATTCTGATACCTTAAATGCCTTAAATGCTAAATAATTATTCAGCTCTTATCAAAGCATTGGGAAATGTTTTACCAGCAAATTATTTTGCTCAGAATCTGTATTATAAACACTGATGAAGTATTTGTAAAACTAATTGCTCTGAACCTATGAGGTTAAATATACAATTTGAAGTGATGCTGCTTGCTTACTGTTTTTTCTCTCATGCCTACAGCAGTTTAAGCACGTTATATTTTGTGATATTGTAACCACATGGCTCAATCCTTGTCGTTCATTTGAAATATGGATTTTTTTGGTTTTGGTTGACAAAACTGTTTAAGCAAAACATGCGTGTAGTTTTTCTATTTTGATATTTTCAATAGATTTCATACCCAGAAACCCCTTTTGTAAAGAAAACTGTATGCTAAGTTCTTTTTGAAATTTTAGGTTGCTGGTTATCCCAGATATTTATTAGGCCATTTAAAATGACGAAATGAGGCCAAAATGTCATAAACAACGCTTTTTAGAAAATAAAATTCCGATAAAGATCCTTATTTTAAATTTGACTCTAAAATATTTAATTAAAGCGCGATTTAATGTTTTTAGTTGATCTCAAGTATTCATTATATCCAAATTACTTGTGGACGTTACTTTTTCTGAAAAAAATTACTTTTTTGTTTTAATTATTCTTCATATAGACCCCAGATGGATTTTTTTAAAAACATTAATATCCAAATCCCCCTACTGCTGGTGGCTTTCCGTGCGCATTCGAACTGCATTCCCACAGAAACGGGACGCCAAATTGTCGTGTCTGAAAACGAAGTGCGCCAAGTTGGTTAGATTACTTCAATGGATATGTGCTCCGACTGGGCATGGTGCTGCATCATTCAAGAGAAAAGCATGAAAAACTCTTATAAGTATCTAAGAACACTTTTATAAAATACGTCTCGGCCTTTGTAGACGAATGCCGCACATTTTTAACGTTTTCTGGTCAGTTGGCTTCAAAGTGATTCGAAGTGCCCATCATGTACTTCGATATGTATCATTTTAAAGTTTGGGGCTTTGCAGGAATTCCAACCTCTATACAAATGGATTAATGACATATGACCGTAGTGGCCTGAGAAAATAGACTTGGAGGTAAAAGGCCGACCCGTTAAAACAATAAGCCCATTTTCCGAGTGAGGCCTTGCCATTAAATGTCTTGATGCCTTTGCTCACATCCTTACCTTACCCACCAGTCTACCATTACCCATATGATATGTCCTGAAGGGGAAGCATTTTGCAAGCTAGCTCCGAAAGAAAAAAAATTAATTGTAGGTTATTTTGTATCCGGTATAAAAACTAAATTTTGGTGTTTCGCGTGACAGCGAAGGAATCCGCAAGTGAACCCTTGTGAATGGTTTAGCGCTATAAAAGCAAACACGCCGCGTCAATTATGTCCCCCAAAATAAAAATAAAATATGAAAGAGGTTAGCGCCGATGGCATAAATGGTTAAGAATTTATGAAATGCCGAAAGGCAATAAATTGATATTAAGTGGGAGCATCTGCCTAAAATGCACAGTGGGACGAGTACAAACGAATAAAATTAGTGAATTTAAATAATATATACAGTTCTGCGAATTTAACAAATAAAATTCAGGCGAAATTAAACTTGTTATATTAGCATATATCTGGACAGATTATTTTGATCAACTGAGTGGATTTATTAATAAGAAG